CCACAGCCACTGTGCCGCCCTTGCTCCCATAGATTTAGTTTGGTCCTTTCTCAGGGAACCATATTTGAGGATGTAACCATGTTGTCACCGGGTTTCTGTGCTGATTCATTTGAGTTTTTACACTTCAGTTCCTTGCACGGCTTACCTCGCTCAACAAACCAGCTCATAGGTTCACCTGGCAATTACTGTAATCTCATCACATATACTTGACTTGGTTTTTTGCACTAATGAATTGACGCTCTTGTAACACCTCTCCAAATGTAGATGTTGTTGGCAGAGTTGTTTCTGTGAGCGGGTTATCCTGTTCGGCAACATCCACTGGTGCTATTATTAGGCGGAAACTGGTCATACAAAACGAAAGGTTTTCAATGCAATGCGATTGTGTACCTTTCCATTTGTATTTGATTAACCGTAATTCCAATCATCTCCGTCTAGCCTGCACTTGACTATTGCAGAAATAAACGTGTTAACATCACCATATGTGGCGATGTTGCTCGATCACTAGATGGAGAAGAACTAGCATACCTTAGCCGCATGGGATCTGTTATACTTGGTGTATGCAGTCTTCAAGTTACTGACGCCACACCAGGTTTACACTGCACCTTTATCCCTCACAGTTAATGCTATTGCTAATCCATTCTACGACGACTCACATCTCCTTTCCTACCTTTACCAAAGGCGGCATTTTTTTAACCAGCACCTCCGCTACACGGTTTGTTTTGGAGCCATCTTCTGCATTGGCAAATGTTTTGCGTGCTACGTAAGTCTCTTACAAGATGCCGCTTTTAGTAGTTGACTTTCCGTTTATCTCATATACTTTCGAAATTGTAGTGCTACTGGTGGTACAGATACGATCCGCTATTATCCTCCATGCTTTTCCACTTATTTTGAAGAGGAAATGTTTCGAGCTGACAGTACCAAGACAATTATGGACCTCATCCGCCTTTCCAGAAATCCAATGGTTGACGTGCGTTCTTTTGTCATAACTTTTACTGTCACAGCAATGTATCTTATTACTTCATGGCAGGTTAAAGCATAATCTGCACTATTAATGTAGCCAGCCATTATTTTCATGCTTCAAAATTTATTCTGCCTCACCACTAGATGGATCTGTTTTTCCAGTCCCTTTTGCCAGTAAACTAACAAATTTCTTGCCTGCTTAGCTACACTTTCTCACCAGTTTTGTTTACCTACAGGCTACCCAGTACTATTGTTTGGCGCAAGTCCTCTCCACTGAGGCTTCAAGATCATGGTTCTACTTAGGATGTGCCTTTTGCTTTAAGACAGCTAGGGAATTTCCTGCCACTGGTGATTTTTTTTGTGAAGAACATGGCCAACTAAAGGCTGAAGAAACCGAACATTGGTTAGTTTAAAATCCACCTTTTCCCCATCAGTCAAGTGGGCACGCCCAATTCACCCCTGAAATTTTAATACATTTTTACAGCTACAAAATTCATTTGGCTGTCGGAGACACTACTGGTTCGGCGTGCTTCGTCGCACTTGGAAAGACCGCTGAATCTTTGCTTGGAGTTACAGCAAACGAACTATTGTTGCAGCATCCCCACCGCCATGGCCATTTCCCTCCGCCAATTGTGGCCATGAATGGCTGTTGGTTTTCGTTTTGTGTGCAACTCCCTAAACCTGGAAATCTGGCTCAGACTCCTCTGGAGTTTACTATACTTTCTGCATTCGACCGCAGCCAGCTCTGACAATAAACTAATGAAAACGTCAACGCTTGCGCAGAAAGTCATTGTGCTCGACCGTTGTCTTACCTATATTATGCCAGTATTTAGCAATATTTGCACTTCAACATCAACAGACTTATGTATCCGCGATGTCCGTACAAACTATTCACATGCACAATGACTCCGCTCTTTCGCTTACAACTCTCCATTCCCACAATATAGTCTCCCCGCCGCAGAGCGCGGGCTTCTTTACTAGTTATTAAGTAATTAACCAAGTAATAAGGGGCGGCTATGCATAGCATAGTGTGGTGATCAACAAAATTTCTTTCAACTACTTGAATTGTTATCATCAATTGATTGCATGTTGCCAGAGTGTTTTTCAATCGAGGGTCTTCTGTTTGTTAAGCAGTCTATTATTGGTCATGTATTTGGCCCTTTGGCCTATGTAGTTTGTATAGCCCAAGTGCCCAACCCATGCGCATACTCACATCCACCCTCTCTTCCTCTTCTTCTTGTGGCCGACCCTAGCTAGGGGTTGTCACATATATATGTTCTGTAATTGTATTCCCAGACGGTTAAGTAATCGCAACAGTAGCTCGGAGAGTTTTAAGACTCTCCCGTAGATTAGTCCTGAACATTTAAGAATATCATGTAAATCTGTGTCTTTGTCAATCTTTAATTTCCGACCACTATGGCTAACAATGTTCGCATCCAACGATCCAATTTGTTATACACATGACATTCAGATGTATATAAATTTCGAACTCATATGAGTAGGGTTTCGTTTGAAAAGTCGTGTTAGTGAATAATATTGTAGCTATGGTAGTCTAGAAGCACTAATGGACACCTAAATTTCAAACTTTTGACTTTGGGAAGGGAAGATAGATATATTATTAACATGTAATTATGACTCTATGATTAGGTAATGGTCCAACCGTGTCGATTTCATTTGGGTTCCCATCTGATTTCCATTTTCCCAACTTTCATGATATGTTCATGCATGTATCCATCACATATTATTATTGTGCCGATCATAAATATTGATAGGTGCATCTCTTCATGCTTTGAATGGCATATCACTTTTGAATCTTTGATATGTGATCCAATCGAATAGGTTTTTTTTTTGTATTGGTCAACCAATTCAATAAAGGTGACCACACAAGACATAGTGTTAGAGGAAACGAGGAATAGATAATCTATAAGTCTACATTCTCGAGTTAATAAGTGTTATTCTTTATTTTTTTCCTATATAAGAGTTTATCCGGAGCAGTATTGTCGAAAGTTTTCTAATAACTTTCAATATTATTGGGGTTAATTTCAGAAAGTTGCGTCTTAACCGTGTTATGTACGTAACTCGGTTTCCGTAAAATAAATGAATACAACGGTCACTCGCGTACTTTATCGAATTGAAGATTATGAGGATTAAAAGATTTGAAACCACACAATTTGACTCCCAAAGTCAAGTCCATTGTGCTTGTATGTAGTGCACCGATCATGGAAGTTCCACTCCTTCCATTCCAACATTATTTTTTCTTGCTTTCTTTTCCGGTCAACATGCATATTTTTAATTATATGATTACTAATCTATTATTACAACTTAATGGAAAATTAATCTCCTTAAAACTACAAGTACGTATCATCTCATCACATGCCCACCTAACCAAATCACCGATCGACTTCATGAGAATACTTCAAAAGGCCAATTTGCTTTCCTTTATAAAAAATAATTATTATCTATAATTCCCGAATTCCTTCCGTATTTTAAAATTTTGAAGAAGAATGCATCCTATATAATATTGCAAGCTACTGACTTTCACTTCACATGCCGTGTTTCTTCCTCCTTTTCCCCGGGAAACTTCTAATTGGACCGGTTCTTCCATTCCAACAATAATATGTCCCAATTTGGCAATTTTCAAAGCAGAAATTAGTGTAATGCTTTTAGCATATTTCCCACCACCTTTTTGGCATACAAATTTTCTTTTATAAATAATGCAATTCTTGCGAATCGGTCTATCGTTTTATTACTAGTAGTTCATAGATTTAAATATATAGAATATCATTTAATTATAAATATAAAATTGATGTCATTTTTATATAAAAAAATAAAAAAATAATGTATATGAGAGTATTTTGTACGTTAATTAGAACTGCACGAATTCATAAAGAAACGATAACTATATTGTAAACAACATTATTAAGTGAGGATGCTCCTAAACACTTATTTTGTTGATTGGAATGATTGTGGTCGTCGATATTACACAAACCATAATGTACCTAATACCTATATGTCTCGATTGATTAATAACACAAGTTAAAACATCTTCTTTTATCCTATTCAACAAAATAAGAAAAGGGGTTAATTTGAGCGGGGTAACTCAAATTCCATTTTACAACTCAGATCGTGATTCTAAGAGTTCGTTTGAAAGTTGCGAATGTTAAATCGTTGCATTATAATAAATCACCATAATATAAATGCATGTATTAATACAATGGATGCATTTTAACAATACATTGTTTGTTTGTTGAGATTTTACTTTATGCATTGATTTACATAAATTTACTTTTATGGGGAAATGTCACATTTACCCTCAACTTTTAGAATAAACAAATACTATTGGGGATATAAATGGAAAGAAAAAGTTGATACAAATCTAAAACCAACAATCTCAACTTTTAATTGAGATTGTATAATGCATAATTTTTTGTGATTGTTGATGGGACCTACCTAAAACAATGCATGCATTGTTTAACACTTTGGCACTTTCAAACATTATATTGTGCACAATACATGTATTCAACAAATACAACTCTAACAATCATAACTTCTAAACGACCCCTAAATAATAATAAAAACAATTAATGCATATACCTCGGTCTCTTCATTGAAAAAGTCTCTTACTTGATGGTCTCTTACTTGCAGCATCAAGAACTCAAACTACACTTCAAAACATAAACATCAAGGATTAAGGGAGAAGTCCTATCGTGCAATTCACGATCTTTTTCTTAAACACGGGTAATCAAGACCATTAATCCCTAATTAATGAGGTCAAACACAAAACAAAAAATCACCATTGACCAATAAACCCACGAAGTCAGTCACACATGTTTGGTGAAAAAAACTCCCTCGACGCGGAATTACAAAGTGAACGGAAAGAAAGTCACTTTTCCCGGCAGCCGAACAAGAAGAATCAACTCCCCCGCCCGGCCAATCTCCTCAATCCATTCCCTTTCAGACCTCCCGCCACGCGTCGCCCATCCAACGGCTCACCTTCCACGCCACATCCCATTTCTTCGTACTATAAATTCCCCCCGGCGTGAACACATTTAGAACCTCAAACTCAACTCAACTCAACAAACCATCAAGAAAACAGAGGAAAAGGAAAACAGAGCATCCTAACAAAAACAGGGGCGACCACTTTTTCTCTCTCAGAGAACACAACAATGGCGGTGTCGAGATCAAAGACGTTAGCTTTCGCAGCAATCGTGATTGCCGCTCTTCTCCACATCTCCGCCGCTCAGACTCCTCACACCGTGGGAGGAAACGCCGGATGGACCATCCCTCAGGGCGGCGAATCGGTTTACTCCAACTGGGCTTCCGGCAATTCCTTCGCCGTTGGGGACATTCTCGGTAAGAAAGCCTTTTAATTAACATCTACAATCTTTTGTAACGATTGGGATCAAAATAAAGTTCTAATCTTGGTTTTTCCCCCCCTTTCAAAATCAGTGTTCAATTTCGCTGCTGGAGCTCATGATGTGACCCAAGTGAACAAGGCAGACTATGACTCCTGCTCGGCGGCGAACCCGATGATGACTTCCACGACAGGTCCGGCGAGAATTACCCTGAACTCAACCGGCGAGCATTACTTCATCTGTGGCGTCCCCGGCCACTGCAGCGCCGGTCAGAAGGTCACCGTCAACATTCTTGCTTCGACTACTGCGCCTTCTCCTGCTCCCCGCCGGGCTCTCACCCCTGCCGCTGCTCCCACCCCGTCCACTTCCCCTGTTGCCGGCGATGTCCCGTCGTCAGCACCTGCCCCGACTCCTTCCACTTCCCCTGTTTCCGGCGATGTCCCGTCGTCTGCACCGACTCCTTCTGCGAGGAGCCCGATGACTTACACCGTCGGCGATTCTTTCGGGTGGAACATTCCCACGAACGGTGCTGCTCTGTTCCAAAACTGGGCCGCCGGCAAAGACTTCATGGTCGGCGATATCCTTGGTAAGTACAACGTACTACTTAATTAAACTAACTGTTGTAGGAAAGTAGTTAATTAGAATGTTAATTAAAAAATTGACTTCCTAAAATATAAATTAATATGCTCTGAATTGAAATTTCTCTCTGCTGCAGTTTTCAACTACACCGCCGGAGCACACAACGTGGCGGAGGTGACCAGCGACGCCTACACGGCGTGCACAACGACCAACCCGATCTCCCTGGACAGCAACCCGCCGTCGAGAATCACGCTGACCACCGCCGGCGAGCACTTCTACCTTTGCGCCGTTCCCGGGCACTGCTCCGCCGGCCAACAGCTTTCGATTAATGTCACCGGCGCCGCCAGCACAACCCCTGGAACTCCATCGCCGTCAGGTTCGACCACTCCGTCGTCCCCTGCCGGTGATGTGGCTCCACCGTCGCCAAATTCCGCCACCTCCGTTGCCGGCGTGTCGGCCGCCGCGTTTTTGTCCGTCTTCGTAGCTCTGTTGTTATAGATGGAGTGATCAGTAGAGATACCTACGGCCGGGCATGTGATTTTTTTTTTGTTTTGTTTTGATCTGTATTAGTGTTGGTTATTGATTGTTATATAGATTGATTTCTCACATACCTTATATTAATAAAAGCAATTTTTGTAGCTCAAATCATCAAAGACTGAATTACTGACTTGCATTGCATCTACACTTCACCGGTGATCAAGACTAGTGTAGTGGAGTGGTTATGGCGTTGATTTTGAATCTAAAGATTCTGACTTTAAAACCAATAACAAGCAATTCCCTTTCTCTCTTCCTTCATCGAGGGAAAAATGGGAAAAAACACTCTCTACTCTCTAGTCCATGCTCATCGACTCTTATTCTCCATTGTACGTGGCACCGAGCCGTGCCGCCCACGGGCTAGCACGGTACGAGTACGAGCACGAAATAAATGGGTCAGCCCGACACGAGCACGAATAATTTATGAGTCGTGCTGGGCCTAAACTTTACGGGCACGGGCACGACACGGTATATAACTGAGCTGTGTCGGGCCTAATATTTTCCAGACTTTATTGAGTATAAGAACGGACATGGCACGAAATAATATTTATTTGATAGAAAATAAATATAAAAAGAATTATAGTTTCAAATATTACAAAACACAAGTAGAAAAATAATTATTTGTTGTTGTTAGAAGTGTCATAAAGATATATACGTAATTACTAACATAAGTAAAAATGGACAAAGAATTAAACAAAGCCAAATCACACTCGCTATACTTCCAATTTTCTTTTTCCCCTTATTTTATTTGTTACTTTTCCCAAACATTATTGGTTAATATTATCTTCCTCCGTCCAATTTTCACCTTCTTTTTCATTCTCTCTTTTGTCTTCGTCTGTTTCATTAAACACAAATACGAGCATGGCACGAGCACGAATAGGCACGACACGATTCGAACCGTGCCCGGGCCTGGTCCGGGCCTAGCAAAGTTAACAAATGGGCTTGCATGGCACGACACGAAAACTGGCGGGCCGTGCCAAGCACGGCACGAAATAAATGGGCCCGAAGCTTGCCCATGCCATGCCGGCCCAAGCACGGCCCAACGCCCATGTACATTCTCCATTCGACTAATACTCTCCGAAACTTTAAACTTTCGCTCTAAGTCTCTAGTTTGCTTCCACTTAGGAGTGATTGTTCGACCGCATGAATTGCACAATATAGAACTCATTAAGATATCGGGTGTAAATGGAGTAGAGATCCGCCTAAGTACCTCGGCTTTCCTCTTGGGACGAAACCGAATGAAACCTCGATATGGGATGATATTGTGGAAAGGTATCAACAAAGGCTAAGTGGATGAGGAAGCAGAAATCTGTCCACTAAGGCTAGGCTGGTTTTGATTAATTCTATTCTTTCTAGTACTCCGACGTACTTATTCTCCCTCTTCAAGGATCCTAGTTCGGTTGTGAATGAGTTGGAGAGATATCAAAGAAGATTCTTGTGGAGTGGGAAGACAGATGGTCATAAAATGGCTCTTGTGGATTGGAAGTTGTGTAAAACGCCTATTAAGGAGGGGGGACTTAGGATTCATGATCTAAAGATGTTTAATGATGCGTTGCTATCGAAATGGCCGTGGAAGTTCGCGGTGGAGAGGGGAAGTTGGTGGCGGGAATTGGTTAACTATAAGTACGAATGAAGTCTCTTGTTGGCAGACTAGAAGGACAAGAGGAGGTTTTTCCAGGTCGGTGTGGGCGAACATCAGTAAAGAGTATGATGATTTCTGGAAATTTGTTGTCATTGATCCGGGTAATGGTACTCAAGTCTCCTTCTGGCATGATTGCTGGATCCCTGGGACCGTACTGGTTGCCTCGTATCCTCGCGTCGCTGGTGCTGTCCTTGACCCAGAAGTTCTACTTTCCGACACTACGAGAATCAATGGTGAGTCGGTGAGTTGGAATTTTGGTTTCAAATACACTTTGAGGGGTGGGGCAGATAGGGAAATGAATAATTTACGAAATCTTTTAAATGCAATGAATTTGGTGTATACATCCTCTAGTCCGTGAAGGATCATGTGGAAACCAACGGCGGACTTGAATTTCTCCGTGAGATCCATGTACAGGGATTTGGCAGCTAATGATTTAAGGGGCAATGAGGAGTTTCCAGTTGATAAAGTTGGGAAATCATGGATTCCTAGCAAAATATGTTTCTTTCAATGGCTTGTCTATCACAGCAGATCAGTTCTTACTTTAGATCATCTAAAGAAGAGATGGATTTGTCTTGCCAATAGATGTTGTCTTTGTATGAAGAATGAAGAATCTACTTATCATATCCTTATGGAATGTGAGTTTGTCAAGAATACTTGTAGGATAGTTTATTGTAGAAGGAGTTTGACACCGATATGGGACGGAGAGATTAGACAAGTAATGTCTAATTGGCCTGCTGCAGATGGAGAAAGAATTGAGCAGTGGTTCGATGGTTGTATCCGTCATGCCATTTGGTGGGTTGTTTGGCTCGAGAGGAATCAACGTTTGTTCGAGGATAAAGGGATGCATGCATTGGTGGTAGGAAAAAAGGAAGCTAAAAATGCTATAGAATGGATTGTGGCTAAAGGTAAAGTGCAGGCAGTGAAGGGATCTAGATGGTTGTCTGAGTTGGGATTAGTGTAGTAACGCTGGTTTTCGAGTTTGATTGTGGGTTTGGGAGGGAGTATGGAGGAGGCTGCGAGAGGATGAAATTGGAGTTGTAAACTGTGCAATACAGGGGATCGAGTGGTTTATTGCTCGATCTTGGGGGTGTTGTTGTTCCTTGCTGTAGGAGACCCCTTGTTGGTGAGTCGATTGAGTCTGGGGTGTGGTTTAGATGGGTATAGCTTGCCTGGTGTTCCGCTGGGTTGGGATGTTCATTTCTGTGTGTTTGTTATGTGGTGCACACAGGGGTGGCTTCGTACACCTAGCGTGGGTTGTAGGTGAGGCTTTGTTGTGTGTCTTCTTTCTTTTTCTCTCCCTTCTTCTTCTTTTCTGGTTAGGATCATCTCTCTTGATCCATGTACTCTCAGTTCATTTCAGTTTGTTTAATAAATCATCGCCATTATAAAAAAAGAGTCACTCACCCCTCTCCTAGCCCTTTTATGTTTAGACAAAGTTACAGCTTCGGAAATTTACCCACTGGAAATGGAACAATTGTTGATCAATACGGCAAATCAGGAGGTTTTGTATTGATGTCAATGAAGAGAAAGAGAGCGGTATAAGATCCAGCATAACCTTTTTCCAACAATTCGAGTTATTGTGATCAACTGGTTCATGACTTGGTATCAGAGCCTTATGTGACCGAGAGGTCTTGTGTTCGAACCCTGGTGATCCCATTTGTGAAGTACATGTATTTTCGTGTTCAGGTTATGTGCAAACGAAAGCCCTTACGAGGTGATTGGCTTTCGTTTGAGGGGGTGTGTTAGTGAGTAATATATGATCCACGATTGAACCTCTCCCAACAACTCGAGTTATTGGGACCAAGCTTTCGTTTGAGGGGGTGTGTTAGTGAGTAATATATAATCCACGATTGAACCTCTCCCAACAACTCGAGTTATTGGGACCAACTGGTTTATGACATGGTATCAGAGCTGGTTTGGCCAAGTGGTCGTGTGTTTGAATCTCCACGACCCCCAATATTAATAGTTGCTTAAAGCACAAGGTATAGTGGGCATGTGCAAACTTAAAGCCCGTGAGTTGGCTTTCGTTTGAGGGGATCAACTGGTTCTTGACAAAGAGTACTTGGGGCTTTTGAGCCTTACCGCTTATGACCTCTATTTAGCCTTAATCGATGCTCTTAACTGAAAAAACTTGGATCAGGCATCTATACAGACCAATCTGACTATCGTCCTCACAATCCATTTGTCAGAAAGATCTCACAGGCGTTAGCCATCGTTGAATCGGACAATTGCGGATCCTTCTTAGACATACTTAGGAAACGTATCTATATCTATCTATAATATATATAAAGCATATTCATGGGTTGGATTTTCTCCATTTTGAGCAACTAGAGTGAAAGTAGGAAGGGTATTTTTGTCTTCACAATTAGTTATTTATTTTGTATAAAAATATATCAGCACCAATATTTGAACCATGGTCTTTTTAAACAAAGACAAGAAGTATAACCAATTACACTAAACAAATATGTTGTATACTTTTTATTACAAACCATACACGAAGTTAAAATCTGTAAAACATATGACTTTTGCATAATAATAAGCTAGCTCATTAAGTCTCTTGTAAGTATCTTTATGTTGCTTGATACTTTAATTTTTATATTTGATTATTTTAGTTCTAGAGTATCCTCCAATCTATAAAATATATGAAGGAGATTCATGGGTTAAATTTTCTTAATTTCAAATATCCTGCAACCATAGTGATTTTTGGAAGGAAAAAATGTCATTTACCACACTTTAATTGGAATGCTTCGTTTAAACATTTATGTTGGGCTTTAAATTTGTCGCACTGATTTTAGCGTTTCCACCAGACTTTGAATTCGTTGGGTACTATTTCACTTTCTAATTTATTTTTTATTTTATTTTTATGCTGCTAGAGGGACGCAAACTCTCCCAGCCTCTAAACCTGGATAAGAGGAAACAAAGAGGACGAAATCTCGCAACCATAACTCTGTCACCAACTCGGCCATTCTTGGGACCTCTCCATGGAGCCTTCAACACCTTTCCTATCAGACAAAGCTAATCAAGGAGCACCATAGAGGTCCAATAAGTCTCCCATGAGTCGTGTTTCACTTTGCAACCACCCCTACATTATGAGTTGGAGATCCCAAGAGATGCTACAGAAAAAATTATCAAACTTTGCTAGCAATACTCTTCGAGAAACAACATTCGAAAAACAAATTAGCATAGGCCTCACTATTGGCATGGCATAAAATACATCTATCTTCATTTAATTTACCCCACCGCATCAACTTTACCTTGGTTATTCATGGTCACAATCCACGCTATGATTCAAAGCGGCACGTAGAGTTTCCTTTAGAGAAGAGCAGACCAATATTGTTTCACAGGACGTATCTGATATGATCCAAATCCGAAGAGAACCCTCGAACTCGGATGATATGACCTAAGTACGCAACCTTCCTTTTTTTTAAGGAATTTTTGAATCTTTTCTCCAACTTGAACAACTTGAAATAAAAGATAGATGCGGAA